TGGAAATGGACTATGATAAGCGGAATGAATTTATTAATTACGGACTTGGCGAAACGATGGCTACCAGGCTGGCTTTTTATTGTATTAATGTAATGTTTTAACTGTTTATAATTATTGTTACTATGTATTTTATTGTGTTGAATTGTAGGCATCAAACGTATGCTGGTTGGAAGCCGCCCTGAGTCCCTCTTAGGGGGTTGAGAAGGGCAGGGTAGATGTACCCGAAATAAATAAATAAATAAATACCTCAGCAGTAAAAAAAATAACAAGCAATTGTAGCTCAGCTTTCCTTTTACCTCAGCAGTAAAAGAAATAACAACCAATCACAGAGCAGCTGTCATTTCACTTCAGCAGTATAAGAAATTAAAGCTGAGCTGTGTTTGGTTGCTATAGGCATATACCACTCATTCCATCCGACATGGCGTTTGAGTACTAACTACTTCAATTTCCAATATGGCTAGCGTTCGATATGACTACCAATAAAGTGCAGGGGAAATCTTTGCAAGTATGTGGTTTGAATTTAGAAAACAATTCCTTCTATCAGGGGCACTTATACGGTGCATGCTCCAGAGTTCGTAAATTGTCAGATCTTTATGTTTATGCAGGAAACGGACAAACCAAAAATGTAGTCAATTGTGAAAAAAAAATCTTTTTCTTTTATTTCCTTTCATTCCACATAGATATAGCAACGCAAGGCAGGATATTGAATTGAATGATGTGTTTTCTCGGTGAATCTGTTTGCAGCAATATTTTTATCTACTATCTCATTCATTTCATATCAAACTGAGTCACAGTGAAGCATGGTTGGATTTAGCTAGTGTAGATATAAGGAGGTTCATTGGACTGCATTATATGGGCCTAGGTAAGGGTAAAGGTTTTCCCCTCACATTAAGTCCAGTCGTGCCGGACTCTGAGGGATGGTGCTCATTTCCATTTCTAAGTCGAAGAGCCGACCATGTCTGTAGACGCCTCCAAGGTCATGTGGCCGGCATGACTGCATGGAGCACCGTTACCTTCCCACTGGAGCTGTACCTATCAATCTACTCATATTTGCATGTTTTTTAACTGCTAGGTTGGCAGAAGCTGGAATTATCAGTGGGAGCTCACGCCGCTCCCCAGATTCTAACCTGTAACCTGTCAGTCAGCAAGTTCAGCAGCTCAGCCCACTGCCCTACGGGCTATAAGCCTACACTGACCATATAATATAGCTTCAAATTGCATTATATGCTGGGTAGATGAGGTTCAATAGTTTGGTTTTGCAATGTAACAGAACAATTTGTAGGCAACTGTCTGCATATACATGTCTATTTGTATTTTATTCTGGTGAAGGAAGTCCATTGCTTTCATCACTTTCTGAAAAGGCTCCATAATCCAAAGAAGTTGAAGAGCTAATGGTATGGGAATACAATATACTAGGAAATGTGCACAGGCCAGCCTGTACCTTGTACCAAGCTTTACAGCAAAGTAAAGACTTTCGGTATATATTTCAGATTAATGTCAAAAATACATAGCATGATTTTACATAGGATTTGTGCTATGTTAGAACAGTAAATACAAATATCACTTAAGTAAAATAAACATTTAATCTTAAATAACCAAATAAAGGTGTAAACACTAAACTAATATAGGAATATGCTATTGCAACACATCCAATTAAGTGGTTTAAAACTAGTATTAAAAAAGATTAGGACTAGGTATGTTCCACTCTACTTGGAATACACGAAGCTGATTCCAGAAGCATGTTTAAGATCTTTCATCACCTTCTGAAGACACTCCATGGTCCAAAGAAGTTTAAGAACTATTTGTTTATCGTGTCAGGAGCAAACCAAACGTTGCATTGTATTGTTTAAAAAACACATTTTGCAAACTTGGCATTCTATTTAATGTCCTTTGACCAGTAGCTGGCCACTTGGAGTGCCTCTGGTGTTGCTATAAGAAGGTCCTCCATTGTGAATGCAGCAGGGCTCAGGTTGCATTGTAGTAGGTGGTCAGTGGTTTGCTCTTCTCCACACTCGCATGTCATAGACTCCACTTTGTGGCCCCATTTCTTAAGGTTGGCTCTACATCTCATGGTGCTAGAGCGCAGTCTGTTCAGCTCCTTCCAAGTTGCCCAGTTTTCTGTGTGCTCAGGAGGGAGTCTCTCATTTGGTATCAGCCATTGATTGAGGTGCTGGGTTTTAGCCTGCCACTTTTGGACTCTCTCTTGCTGTTCCAGCGAGCGTCTCTTTAGATCTTAGAAAACTATTTTTTTATTTAAGGCATTGGCGTGCTGGCTGATATCTGAACAGGAGATGTCACTGTCTTGGTCCTTTCACTATTGGTTGCTACTTCCCAGAGGATGTCAGGTGGTGCAATACCGGCTAAACAGTGTAATTTCTCCAGTGGTGTAGGGTGCAGACAGCCTGTGATAATGTGACATGTCTCATTAAGAGCCATATCCAGTGTTTTAGCATGTGAGATGTTTACTTTAAGGACTCATGGTAGAGGAATACAATATAATAGGAAATGTATATAGGCTAGCCTGGGTTGATGCTGACAGTATTGTTTATGCATAGAAACAAGCAATGTAAAGAAAATATACTACTTTGGCTACAGTCCACAAATGTGGATTTTGCAATGGTCACTGAATGCAATGAAATAAAACCATTTGTAGGCAAATATCTTCATATACAGGTTTATTTGCATAGCTTTCACCACCTTCTCAAATATCTGTTGCCACTCTCAGAAGTCATGTAGCAGAGAAGCTGGTAGTCCATGGATGCTAGCTGTAGCGTGTTCCATGAATATACGGTACATTATTGGATTACTGGCACAGTTGGCAAAGCAAGGGTGCACTCAAATTGCTCACATAAACTCAGACATGGGGATGATTCCTACCTGTGATAAATCTGTTCCAATGTAACCCAAGACCCTCAGACAGCACCGTCCAACTGAGACACTCTCCCCCACCTGTTTTTCCAACCAGTTTTCTGTAAGACGATTCAGTTCTCATAAAGTCAGTCAACCATTTTTAAACGTAAGCATGAATTCCTTCCGTTACCACAGAGAACAGGTCGGCTCTTCCTCCATTTAGCCAAACACAAGGGTTCAGTCTTGACGGTTAAGAGCCAGTTGGCCACAGAAGGGAGGTTTGACCTCCTCCGACTGCCAAGGAATACATCTTGATGGACAGGATTGGTTTGGCAAACAACCCTGGGGGACAGTTTTAGCCACTGACCAGCTTAGGGTAATGGCCACTTCCTCCAGTAAAGCACATTTTAAGCATGTCAGCGCAAATTTGTTCCTTGCGAAGTAAAATAAATATATGTGCAAAAGAAAATAAAAAGTAAGAAAGAGAGTTTAAAATAGCACACATTAATTTTGAGGAGGGGGAGAGATGATTTTGAGATTAAGAAGAGGAATCATTGCAACCAGTGTCAGAAAAATGGTGGCTGATTCTTACAGTTAAGTGTACAGTCATTAGTCTACTGAATTAACATTGTGTGCTGCAGTAGAAATATTGCTTCATTATAATATGAATGGGTTCATTTAGTTGGAAATTGATATTCTTCAATTGAACCAAAATTTACAGTGAGTGCTTGTTATTTGGATCGATCTACATACAGTGATACCTTGACTTAAGAATGTAATTTGTTCTGTGACCATGTTCTTAAGTGAAAATATTCTTATCTCAAAGCAAATTTTCCCATTGAAATGCCATTAATCCATTCCATACACTCCCGAAAACCATCCCATTTTTTGCTGTGTATTTTAAATGAGAAAATATACTTTATAAATACAGTAGAGTCTTGCTTATCCAACCTTTGCTTATCCGACATTCTGTCTTATCCAACGCTCTTATTCGATGATCCCCTTTTCCTCCAGCATTTCTCCTTCCATTAAAGGAGCGTTCCCTACTCTCTCTTCTTTCCCAACAAGTGAAAATGGCAATACAAGGAGGAGGAGGAGGGGAGGAGGAGGAGGGAGAAAAGGGGGAAATGAGGCGGGACCCTCCTTCCCTCTGTGATTTTCACACTTGTCTTCCGCATCCGGCCACTTCCTGCTAGACCCGTCTAGCCTTGGGGCGTTGCCTTGCTTTAACCCTTTGAGTCCTTGTTAGCATTCTAGATGTCTAGCACCGCGTCAGACAGGTAACAGTAAGAGACTCTGTATTATCGGACTGTGGCAGGAAAGCACATTTGAGGCAAAAAAATGTGTATTGGTCATCTTTTTTTTCAAACTGTACAGTATGTATAGTACTGTTTCCAGCCTCCCTCCCTCTCTTGCTTTTTCTCTCCCTCTCTCTCTTCTTGAAGCAAAACATGCAGTACAAGGAATAAACAGCACACAAAGTGAATTAACTCAAACTTCCTCAGTGGACACCAATCTCTCAAAGCAGAAAAAAACACTAGCAAGCAGGCAAAGACATACAGGCTGAGGCACTGAGTCACAAGGTACAATGGCTGCTCTGGCCTTATGGAAGCCCTGTACTTTCACTTTAGGCTGAGGCTCTGCTACACCAGGGTGGACTGCAATCTCTAGAGTGAATTCTCCAGATTGGACTCCTCCCAAAACATTCAAGGGAAGCAATGAAATGGAGCTAGAGTTTCTGCCTTGCAGGTAGAGCCAGAGCTGCTCCAGCTAGGAATCCAGTCCAGATTTTGTTTCTCTCTGTCTTCCTGTTAGAATTGGTTTAGAGGGCAAAGAGGCCTCTTTTGCACTGTTTGTAAGACAAAACAGTGTTAGGATGTCAAAATGTCACTCTAGGCCAAGTGAGGATTTGTAAGTTAAAAGATTCGTAAGTTGGGACATTCGTATGTAGAGGTTCTACTGTACTTATTTGTCACGAAAGCTAAACTGATTAGTGGTTACTAAAATTAATTTCTTTGTTGCAACAAATTATGCCTCTTGCGTACAATTGTACCACTGAAAATGTTCGCCAATGAAGTGCTTGGGTGTTCTGAACCATGTGTGCATGTATCAGAAGTCAAAAACAGTGTATGTTCTGCTTGTCGTTGCAGGAGGCAAAGGGCTCCTGGAGGAAACAAGGCACAGCAGCACCCGGAGCATCAGCAAGGCACCGCCAAACACAACAAGGAACACCAGAAACCCTCCCAAGGAGGCCAAGCACCCCACTCCTCAGGGCGGCCCAGCCACCACGGCTACAGCCAAAACCGGCGGTGGCACCATAACCAGAAACACTCGCCCAATGACAAAGAGGTGCATCGAAATGCCAAAGAGACTGAGAACCTGAAAATTGAGGATGCCTCTGTCTGTACCGTGCACATCCCTCTGGAGATGCACCGAAACAGTGATGCCACGGACAGGCAGTCCCCACAGTACATTCAGGATCCAGAACACAAACGGAAAGACAGCCTCCACGAACGGATAAGCGAGAGGCCCAAAATTAACTTGCTACAGTCGTCCAAAGACAGGCTGCGTAGGAGACTAAAAGAGAAGGTAAATGCATTGCCCACCCTTTGAGCAAATAAGGTTGTTGTGTAGACCAAGCGTGCAAAATCATTTTCATCCCAAGAGCTGTATTTGGTTTCAGAGAAGTTCTGAGAGCTACATTTCAATGGTGGGTAGAGCAAAAGAGTTAGACCAAAAAGACCAACCATTTCAAGTTATAGCTCTAAATACTGGTGACATGTCAGTGTTTTAGAATCAGTGGTGGGGCTGTCACAATAAAACTGGGAAACCAGTGATGCCAATGTAGTAAACCTCATGGAGAAGGAGTGGGGCTCTTGACAGGCTCCAAGAAAGACAAATTCAGCCCTAGAGCCATGTTCACCATTTTTGTGTAATAATATGTTTTCATCACTTGGGGGTGGGGGCATGAAACAAGTAAAAAGACAGTGAATTACAGGATCTACAACAAGAACCTCGCTAATTCTATGAAGGTAGATGTAGCTTGCACCTTTTTCAGGTTTTTCTCTGTCTATGAAAGCTAGAAGGACTTGCTATTTTCATTGTGGGTTGCCAAAATTGAAGCTAGTTACTAAAGAATAATACCATACAATGAAGGGAAGCTTAAGTTAAGTATCAATTTTCTGGGATTTTAGAATCCAAGATATTCTTGAATTGTTCACATGAATAGCTACGATATGTACGCAAATGTTATTTCATGCACAAAATTATTAAAATATTCAGTATGAAATTACCTTCAAGCTTTTAAACATGAATCAATTTTAATGTGTAAGCATGTGTCCCATCTCCAAGGTATCTCATTATATGCAAAATCTGGAAAAAATCTGGGGGGGGGGGGGAATCTGAAATAGCAAGACTTCTAGCCCCAAGCATTTCAGATCAAGGATACTCCGCTAGTACAATAACTAAACTTAAAATTGCCTTTGAATGGTACAAAGCGACCTGCAGCAAATATATCTCAATATGTTGTTCACAAGTCTAGATTTGGGATGTCTGTTATAATTAATCATTTTTGTTGGAAGTACCAGGATTCATTTATGTATACCATACATTGGGTTTATCACCCATCTTCCAATTTGTATTAAAATTGTATTTAAATCCAGTTTAACGCTGCTATCGCTGCTGCTTCCTCCTCTTCCTCTTTGCTAGGAATCTGCTTTTGCTTTTTCTATCTTTATCTTGTGTGAGTTTTATGCCTATTATGTTATCGGTTTACTCCCAAGGGAGAGATTATTAGATACATTTAGTAGAAAAGGGGGATTTGGTGAAGTTATTGGAGAATCTGCCTCTCTAATCTAACACTTCCTTTGTTTTAGGGGGACTTTAATGATTTAGTTGTCGCTACTTCTACTTTATCCTCTGACTCAGCAGGACCAATGTAATATTCTGTAATGCCAGGTTCTGTCACTAGGTGTCAGTCTGTGCTGTTTATGGTTTTTGCCTGTAAGCATTAAGGCTGCTGTGAGAGAAAAGAAGAAAATAGATTAGCCTCCTTCAGAAGCACACCTCGATCCCAGTATGAGATAAAATGGAAACTGGTGAAAGAAGGAGTCATCCCTGGATGCATTTTGGGAGAAGTTTTGAAGTGGGCCCTGAAAGATTAAGTTACTTTGTTTTCTCATGCAAGGCTTACCTAACTGTTGCAGAATTGTAGTAGTTTGCCACAACATTAACTGCCATGCCTCAGTGCTACAAAATTCTGGGATTTGTAGTTTTGCAAGATATTTGTCTTTCTCTGTTAGGGAGTCCTGATGCCACAACAAACTACAAATCCTAGGTTTCATTCAGATGGAGGTGTGGTAGTTAAAATGATGTAAAACTGCTATAATTTTGCAATCTGGAAAGTCTCATAAACATTCACACATGCAGATTAGTTTCAAAGCGGTTTGCTGAAACCTGTATGTGCTTGTAGTGTTGGTGTAGGAACATAACCCTATTATTTCCATTTTATTTCCTGTCCCCAGCACCAAATTTTCTATTAAGTAATGGCCAGGAACATATTTATTTCATTAACTTCACTATACCTGTAATAAGCATGTTTTGGAGTGAAAAGGGTTTGATTCTAATGATGCCAGTAGCAACAATGTTCAGTTGGGGATCCTTTGTTTAAAAGTCCTCAGTTTCTTGATAGTATTATAGTTCCTCAAGATCTTCAGTGAAAGAGCCATGATAAGTTCGTACTTTTCCTGAGCACTTGTCCTCTGTGAAAATAATTTGGAGAGATGATGGTAATAAGATCTTGGATGTGTTGATTTGATGGATTATATCTCTCATAAACATACCTCTCCCCAGACAACATGCCCAATAGGTTCTTGTGGGGTTTTTCGGGCTATAGAGCCATGTTCTAGAGGCATTTCTCCTGACGTTTCGCCTGCATCTATGGCAAGCATCCTCAGAGGTAGTGAGGTCTGTGGAATTAGGACAATGGGTTTATATATCTGTGGAATGGCTGGGGTGGGGCAAAGAGCTCTTCTCTGCTGGAGCTAGGTGTGAATGTTTCAACTGACCACCTTCATTAGCATTTGAAGGCCTGGCTGAGCCTGGGAAAATCTTTTTTGAGAGGTGTTAAGATGTGCCTGGTTGTTTCCTCTCTGCTGTTTTGCTGTTGTAATTTTAGAGTTTTTTAATACTGGTAGCCAGATTTTGTTCATTTTCATGGTTCCTTCCTTTCTGTTGAAATTGTCCACATGCTTGTGGATTTCAATCCTTCTCTGTGTAGTTTGACATGGTGGTGGTGTGGTCCAGCATTTCTGTGTTCTCAAATAATATGCTGTGTCCAAGGTTGGTTCCACAGGTGCTCTGCTATGGCTGATCTTTCTGGTTGAAGTAGTCTGCAGTGCCTTTCATGTTCCTTGATTCGTGTTTGGGCAAAGCTGCGTTTGGTGGTCCCTATGTAGACTTGTCCACAGCTGCATGGTATACGGTAGACTCCTGCAGAAGTGAGAGGATCCCTCTTGTCCTTTGCTGAACGTAGCATTTGTTGGATTTTCTTGGTGGGTTTGTAGATTGTTTGTATGTTGTGTTTCCTCATCAGCTTCCCTATGCGGTCAGTGGTTCCCTTGATGTATGGCAGGAACACTTTTCCTCTGGGTGGATCTTCATCTTTACTCTCGTGGCTTGTTCTTGGTCTTGCAGCTCTTCTGATGTCTGAGGTGGAGTCTCCATTGGCCTGGAGAGCCCAGTTGAGGTGGTTCAGTTCATCTTGGAGGAGGTGGGGTTCGCAGATTCTTTTTGCACGGTCTGCCAACCTCCAGCAGAGAAGAGCTCTTTGCCCCACCCCAGCCATTCCACAGATATATAAACCCATTGTCCTAATTCCAACAGACCTCACTACCTCTGAGGATGCTTGCCATAGATGCAGGCGAAACGTCAGGAGAAATGCCTCTAGAACATGGCCCTATAGCCCGAAAAAACCCACAAGAACTTAGTGATTCCAGCCATGAAAGCCTTCAACAACAACATGCCCAATATTTATTCCAAAGAAGTAACTTTTCAGAATTCCAAAGTAGTGATGGGTTCTTAGAGTGATATACTATGTTGGAGCCACCAGTAAAGCCACCTGTTCAGATTTCCCCCTGCGTTCTAGATGTATGTGCTTCTAGTATAGCTGCATCCTTGACACAGATCTTGTTTTATGCTTGCTAATCGTTGTTGCTTGCTGCGCATTGCTGATCTGTGTTTTCTTCTTTCCTTCCTTCCTTCCTTCTTTCTTTCCCTTTTCTTTCCCCTTCCACGTTTCCTTGCATAACAGATGCCTTGTCTTTCCCTTTTCACGGATCAGGACGAAGTGGCCGTGGAGTCCACCAACCCCGAAAAGAACAAAATGGACAAACTAATTGAAATTCTTAACAGCATGCGGAACAACAGCAGCGGGGTGGACTCCAAGCTCACCAACTTCATGGAGGAGGCCCAGAACTCCACCAACTCCGAGGAAATGCTCGGGGAGATTGTCAAAACCATTTACCAGAAGGCCGTGACGGACCGCAGTTTTGCCTTCACGGCCGCCAAGCTCTGCGACAAGATGGCACTCTTCATGGTGGAAGGCACCAAGTTCCGAAGCCTCCTTCTCAATATGCTACAGGTAACCCCAAAAAGCTCTGCCTCTGCTGCTGCTGTTGCTACTGCTGCTTACAGAGAGAGTAGTTCGTAAGTTCTGGCCATGTTAGGACCATCCCCACATTCTATTCTTGCCCAATTAATTTTAGAAAAATTAAAGCATAAATGGGGAGGAGGCAAAAGCTAGCTTTGTGTTTGTTTACAAGGGCGTCTCATGGCTACTGTGGACTGATATAATTTTGCAGACTGCTGTCTAGCTCCAATTCTAATTTTAAAGGATGTCTTCAGTAAGCCCTTGGTTTCCCCCAAGGCATTGTTTGTCTACAATTGTTTATAGCAGGGCTTCTTAAACTTTTTTCACTCATGACACCTTTCCGCCTGAGAAATGTTTGTGACGTCTTTTTGCTCAAGGAATATTTAAGTGTAGATAAACAAAATGGGTGTAAAAAGCATTTACTGATTACAAAACCGAACCAGAAAAATATTGGTATTTAGGCTTGTCTCTGGTGTTATTTGGGGTGCTGGTTCAGAAAAATGCACTGCATAGACTGAATCAGCTCTAGTTTCTTAGGTATGGTTATCATGGCTTTCTATGGGTAAGCCAATGGCGACTGCTGGATGGCATATGTTTGGAATAATAATAATAATAACAACAACAACAATAACACCTTATATCCTGCCACCATCTCCCTAAAGGGACTCAGGGTGGCTTACATGGGGGGCAGGCCCAGTAAAACATAATTAAAATATAGCACAGTAAAATACATTGCATTACATTTTTTGTGTGTCAGGAGCAACTTGAGAAACTGCAAGTTGCTTATGGTGTGAGAGAATTGGCCATCTGCAAGGATGTTGCCCAGGGGATGCCCAGATATTTTGATGTTTTATCATCTTTGTGGGAGGCTTCTCTCATGCCCCGTGTGGGGAGCTAGAGCTGACTCTCACCAGATTTGCATTACAATAAAGACAAAAAAAACCCATACAAAACATCATAAAAACATAAACCATCAACAACCATTAGCCAAGCACAATGGGTGTGTTCAGAGATGAGAGGGCGGAGCAAGGGCTTGTGCAATACAATTGCAAGGGCGGGGCTGGTCATAAAATGCAAAAGCCAGCTATTAAATTAGGGCTAAAAGGACCACATCAATGGATGAACCAATTAATCAATGGCACATTGGAACATCCAAGGTTTCAGGTCTTTGCAGAAAGTGGACAGGGTGGACACTAATCTAATCTCCTTGGGGAGAGAGTTCCATACCCGGGGAGCCACCACCGAGAAGACCCTCTCCCTCGTCCCCACCAATGGTGCTTGTAACGGAGGTAGCAGCCAGAGAAGGGCCTCCCCAGCAGATCTTAAAGCTCACGCAGGTTCATAGTGAAAGATGTGATTGCAAAGATAGGCTGTACCTGAACCATTTAGGGCTTTGTAGGTGATAACCTGCACCTTGAATTGGGACCGGAAACTTATCGGCAGCCAGTAGAGCTGTTATAATAGGACTCAAAAACTAGAGCTGATAGGGAGGAAGTGGTGACATTTTTGGAATCAGTAGATCAAATTTACCCAATTTGAGGCACCAAAGCATGTGTTAGAGTAGATCCAGTCAACCCATGAACTTTATATAAGTTTTGTATTACCATACAATGATTAATTTAGTAGGTCTGCTGTACTTTGGACTAACCTGTAGGACCGAAGTGGAGTTCCTGCAGCCCTCCAGATATTTGTGGACACAGCTACTCCCAGCAGACCTAGCTGGCATAACCAAAGATCTAACTGACAGTCTTAAAGATGTATAGAGCAGAGCTTCTTATGCTTTTTCAACTCACAACCCCTTCCCCCCCACCAAAAATATGTTTACACAACCCAGAGGGAAGGGAAGACAGACACAAGAGAGGGAGAGAAAGGAAGGCAAAGAGAGAGAAAGATGTGAGAGAATGCTGGTTCCTCTCAAACTACAAATCCCAGTATTCCATAGTATTGGGCCATGACAGTTAAAGTGATGTCAAGGTGCATTAAGTCCTTACTGTAGCTGCCGCGTAAGAAAGAAATAGACTAAGGATGATACTATGAGTTTTGAAAGTTGCATATGTTTTTCCTGTGGTGAGATCTTCCAATCTCTTGGAAGTGATAGGCATTAGCTAGAAGATAGTTTGGCCGTTGCTTGTCACACATTCACACAGAGCTTTACCCTGGTTTTACTGCCAGAGTTTTAAGTCATACTACTCCTCTATCCGAGTCCCCAGTGGTGCAGTGGGTTAAACCGCTGAGCTGCTGAACTTGCTGATAGAAAGGTAGCAGGTTCAAATCCAGGGAGTGGGGTCAGCTTCCCGTGATAGCCCCAGCTTCTGCCAACCTAGCAGTTTGAAAACATGGAAATGTGAGTAGATCAATAGGTGCCACTCTGGTGAGAAGGTAACAGCACTCCATACTGTCATGCCAGCCACATGACCTTGGAGGTATCTACGGACAATGCCGGCTCTTAAGCTTAGAAATTGAGATGAGCACCAACACTCAGACACCTCTATTCTGCCATGATCAAACCACATCTGGAATACTGTGTCCAATTCTGAGCACCACAATTCAGGAGAGATGTTGACAAACTGGAATGTATCCAGAGGAGGGCGACTAAAATAATCAAGGGTCTGGAGTACAAGCCCCATGAGGAGCGGCTTAAAGAGCTGGGCCTGTTTAGCCTGCAGAAGAGAAGGCTGAGAGGGGACATGATGAAAGTAATGTATAAAGATGTGAGGGGAAGTCATAGGGAGGAGGGAGCAAGCTTATTGGATGGCCATCTGTCGAGGGTGCTTTGAATTCAATGTTCCTGCTTCTTGGGGGTTGGACTGGATAGCCATGAAGTCTCTTCCAACTCTATAATTCTATGATTCTGTTTGAGCAAACAGCTGGAGTCAGACCCTAATTGCTGTGATCGACTGGAGCCGTCCGGTGTGTGGGTGGCTGCACTTAACTATTCCAGACAGAAACAGTTTGTGTCCTTGAGGGCTATTATTGATTTCTATGGGTGGCTGGCTGATCAGGACACTTGGTCCTGTATATGTGGGGGAAATAGCATCAGGAGCTCAGGATATGAAATGGCAGCTACTGAGGTCAAATTAATGAAGATGGGTGCAGCACTTGAAGAAAGTTTAGGTGTGTATTGATGAGACAAATGAGCCATGCTTTCTAATGAAGAAGATTGACAGAATAGATCAGTCACTTAAGAAACCTCTATGTGTCAATGATGTCTACATCTAATGGGTGGGAATCACACATCTTTTTTTTACAGGGCCTCGTATCATCGTAATTTGACAGGGGACTATCAAAAATGAGAACACTCAAGCAGAGTTTGAAAAATACATTTTTAAAACACATTATCTGTTGTTCAGTTACTTTTGGTCCCTCATTGACTAGGAGCCCAGTACCGAAGATAAATGTTGTAATTTGCTTCCTCTTTTTTCCCAATCGTTTCCTCGATCTCCTGATTTTTCTCATCTTCAGTTTTTTTACGCTTGACTGATTTAAAAAAGCGTGGGATCCACTTGTAAGTTTCCTTATAAGTGTCCAGAGGAGGGCGACTAAAATGATCAAGGGTCTGGAGAACAAGTCCTATGAGGAGTGGCTTAAGGAGCTGGGCATGTTTAGCCTGAAGAAGAGAAGGTTGAGAGGAGATATGATAGCCATGTATAAATATGTGAGAGGAAGCCACAGGGAGGAGGGAGCAAGCTTGTTTTCTGCTTCCTTGGAGACTAGGACGCGGAACAGTGGCTTCAAACTACAAGAGAGGAGATTCCATCTGAACATGAGGAAGAACTTCCTGACTGTGAGAGCCGTTCAGCAGTGGAACTCTCTGCCCTGGAGTGTGGTGGAGGCTCCTTCTTGGAAGCTTTTAAACAGAGGCTGGATGGCCGTCTGTCAGGGGTGATTTGAATGCAATATTCCTGCTTCTTGGCAGGGGGTTGGACTGGATGGCCCATGAGGTCTCTTCCAACTCTTTCATTCTATGATTCTATGATCCTTGAAATTACTTGGCTAAAGACAGATTCAGACATGAAGGTTTTTGGGCTGCTGCTATCTATTATAGTTCATATCTCATTTATTTATCTAGAATATTTCATGCCTCGATACACAGTGAGTCCTATTTTGGAATGATCCCAGAGCTGTAACTATCTTAATTCAGCTTTGTTCATTAGTTATTTACAAAAGTACAGCTTCATTCTTTCAAACTGGGCTGTTCCATTGTGATGTTTGGCTGTGTGCACTGACAAACCAAGTCCTTTGGGCCATGTGCCTCTTCCTGTTTGCTGACCTGGAAATATGAAAACAAACTTCTCATACAAACATAAAGTTCAGAATATAGTCAGGCTTGTTGGAAGAAACAGTAACTTCTGCAAATTCTGGGAATCTATGGAAGGAACACATGGAAAGAGATGTGGTCCAGCTCCTTCCATAACTATTCTCATAACTAGGAAGAAGAAAGCTAGGAAATCTTTCACATGATTTGCATTCTTACATCGGCATGCACTCTCTTTTATTGTTTCTATGTGTCTTTATTTGCTTTACAACAAATTGTTATAAAGCAAAAAGATAGAAGAAACAATGTATTGTCGAAGGCTTTCATGGCCGGAATCACTGGATTGTTGTAGGTTTTTTCGGGCTATATGGCCATGGTCTAGAGGCATTCTCTCCTGATGTTTCGCCTGCATCTAATAGATGCAGGTGAAACATTGGGAGAGAATGCCTCTAGACCATGGCCATATAGCCCGAAAAAACCTACAACAACCCAAAGAAGAAACAGTTGCTGTTTATTCGTTCAGTTGCTTCCGACTTCGTGACCTCATGGACCAGCCCACGTCAGAGCTTCATAACTGTAATTGTCCTACCGTTATGAATCGTAGTGTAAATATTTGATATGCAGGATCTATTTTCATTCACTGGACCAAATTGGCGCAAATACCTGATATGCCCAAATTTGTGGTTGGGGGCGGGCAATTGAATTTGTCATTTGGGAGTTGTAGTTGCCAGGGTTT